CCTTCCTTCCTTCCTTCCTTCCTTCCTTCCTTCCTTCCTTCCTTCTTTCCTTCTGCTAACTGATGGAAGATCACAAGTTCGAGCCCAGCCTGGGCAACTTAGCCATTTAGTGACTTAGTGAGACCCTGTCTCAAAATAGAGAGGGGAGGGGGCGGGAGGGGAATGGATGAATGCAGGGATTTGGCCCCACCCAGACCAGGGGTCTGGACACTGCCCTTCGCCGAGGTCCCAGGGGACAGACACATATCAGGGTTGGGAAGGCAGCCCTGGAGCGAGTGTGCTGCTGGTTCAGCCCCGCACCATCTCTTCCTAGAGGCCTGCCTCCTACCTTCCCAAGGCCGTGTCTTGTTTCCTGACTTACTTCTTGCGGACACCTGGACACACACGGGTGTGCACACACGTATACAAGCACACCGCTGTCCACTGCACTCCCCCTGGGCTCCCCGTCTCCTAATACCTGTGGAATGCGCTGATGTCCTTGATCTTCAGTAGGATTTGGAAGACGCCGGTGATTTCCCTGTTGGGAGGATGTGTCTCGGGTGGGAATTATGACTGGCTTGGCCCAGGAATTTGGACGAGGCAGGAGGAAACAGTGGCAAAACGAACCTGGGCTGGGGCTGCTCCAAATGGAGTCTCAGGGTACAGGAGGTGAAGGAACAGCCGGACCCCAGAGTTTTGTGGGAGCCAACGGAGCGTTCGCTTCAGCGGTGCTTTGGCCAGACTGCATTTGGCTCAGGCCGGCCACGCCTGCTGGGTGATCGTGGACAGCAGACCCAGCCTCTCTGAGCCTCACTTTTCTCGTCTGCAAAACGGGAAGAACAATATTGGTCTCATTCCCAACTGTCAGCGAGTTTTGGTCTGGCTCTCTCCCCACAGGGCGTCTCACCTCACGGAGAGCAGGGCTATCTCGTTCTCTGATTTCTCTGACTGTCCAGTCTCAGTTCTCGGGAACACCTGTCCAGTTCAGTTTAATTCCATTCATCCAGCCAACATGGATGGGAAGCCTGAGGTGGAGCGCACCCTCCTGTTGGTCCTGGGACACAGAAGAGAGGAGCTAGCATGGTCTTGAAGAGGGAGAGGCTGGTGATGGAGACCAGCCTGGGAAGTGGGGGTTACCCTACCTATGATGATGGGGTAAAGTCGTGCAGCTGCTTTAAGACCACAGAGCAAGGTTGTGGAGGACTTCCTGGAGGAGGTGGCCATGCAGGAGGAGTAGGAGTTGGGCTGGAGAGATCAGATGGTTGGTGATGGTGGGACTCGTGCTGTAGCAGGCTGCCCGCAGCACTTCATACATCATACATTATCTGCAAAACACCACCAAGATTGCCACTGTTCTAGTCTGGAGGTAAGATGGGGAATGGATGTGCAGAGAGGTTAAGTATGCTGCCCAGGGCGACGTAGCTGATTAAAATAAGAACAAGTGTCATCTCTTTTGTGCTTTTAAACCTTTTTATTTTTGTGTGCTGGGACCCGGGCCTTGAGTGTGTGAGGCAAGCGCTCTCCCCCCGAGTAGCACCCCCAACTCCTATTGCATCTTTCACCCACCAAATGCAAGGGCACCTGTGTCCCAAGCCCAGCATCATTCAGTGTTTCCACAGTGGGGCAGGTCCTGTGCCTTGTTTATGACCTTGTTTCCTGGATTTGGAAAATGAGACTAGAGAGGTCAGGACTTGTTCCTGGTTAAAGGAGCAAGGACTGAGCTCCCCCTGGAGTCCAGGACTGCAAAAGGGAACATGCAGGTGGCTTTTCAGTGACCCTGGTCCGTGAGCATCATGACAGCCTTAGATGATCAAGGCTTGCAGGGCCCTGTGAGATGCCTTCATCCACTCATCCATCGATCCATCCATCCATTCACCCATCCATCCATCCATCCATCCATCGATCCATCCATCCATTCATCCATCCATCCATTCATCCATCCATCCATCTATTCATCCATCCATCCATCCATCCATCCATCTGTCCATCCATCCATCCATCCATCCATCCGTCCGTCCGTCCGTCCGTCCATCCATTCATCCATCCATCCATCCATCCATCCATCCATCCATCCATCCATCCATCTATTCATCCATCTATTCATCCATCCATCCATCCATCCATCCATCTGTCCATCCATTCATCCATCCATCCATCCATCCATCCATTTGTCCATCCATTCATCCATTCATTCCTTGAGCATGCCTGGCGAGCCTGTGAGGTCTGGCAGTGCAGCTGTGAGCAAAACAGTCTGCACTCTGATCTTCTGGGATGGGGTCAGGACATTTTAAAGGGCCAGATGTATATATTTTAGGTACCTGCCACAGAGCTCCACTCTGCTGGTTTGCGCTGAAGCTGCCTGGGCTCATTGATTGGTAAACCAATGTGCTGGCTCAGTTCCAATATTGATTACAGAAATTAGAGAGGTCCTGATGTGACCCTGGGGCTGTGGTTTTGTGGCCCCTCCTGTGGGATAACATCCACCCATTTCCAGGTGCAGGGAGGGGGGTTAGATTGAGATCCCATCAGTTAGTGGGGAGGTGGGTGGAGAAGATAGGAGCTGAGCCCCCTCCTGTGCAGGTTTCTGAGACTTCAGCTTTTCCCAGGGCGAGGTGGAAGTACAGGGCAGGAGCGGCCAGGGAGCAGGGCTGGAGGGTGGGGAGGGAAAACAGGTGGGTCTGGGTCGCAGGACCCAGGCCCGAGCCAGGCCCAGGGCACCCATGTCTTGTGTGAGCTGCTGTTCAAGGTGGGCAGGGGTCCACCCCATCAGAGAGAGGACACTCTGGGTGGAGTCACTCTGACACCAGCCTCCCAGGCTACGGTGTGGGGACCCCAGGCCTCTGTCCACCCCAGGGCTGGGCTGCTTCTCTAAGCCCAGCTGTCTGCCAAACCCAGAGTCCTGGTGCCCTCGTGGTCTGACCTTTGTGGCTTTTCCTCAGTTTCCCCATCTGTGAAATGGGTGAGCCCACATTCCTCCACAGGGCTGCACTGTGGTGGGCTTTCCAGAGCTAACGCTGGTGCTGGGCTCACGGGACCAAAGAAATCACTGGGTAACTGCTCAGTGAGCCCAGTCAATGGGGAGCTTGGCTCAAGGAGGCCACTGCCACCAGCTCACAGCCAGCCTAGCAGAGCCTCAGTGGATGGCAGCGCTGTCCTCACACAGCAGGGTGTCCTGCAGGTCAGCGGTGTCCTCCCCAGAGAGGAGGGAGCCAGTGCTGGAGGCCTTGGCTGGGGAGGAGGGGAGGGACGAAGAGCAGGGCCGGCTCCCTGCCCCGCCACCCCCTCTCCCCCACGACACTTGGGCCCTGCTGAATGCTGGGACTCTGGTAAGCCCAGCGGCAAGTGGCTTCAGTCGCCGGAGTCAGTGCTCCCCAGCATGCAGCACAGCCGGAGGCGGACAGCTGTGGACCTTGGGCCTGCCCTGGTTGGGGTCCGGGGCAGACAGCCAGAGCCGAGCGTGTGTCACAGAGGACACGTGCACTCGGCTGCCCACCCAGGCGTGGGCCAGAGCTCAAAGCGCCTCAGTCATGATTGAACAGTTTCATTTTACTTATTCATTTGTTTGCTTTTTTGAGACAAGGTCTTACTATGTAGTTCAAAACCTTGGCTTTGAACTCACTGTGTAGCCCAGGCTAGCCTCGAACTCACGGAGACCCTCCCGCCTCAGCCTCCTGCATGCTGGAATTACAGGCGTGCACCACCACACTCAGCTTTGTTGAACGATTTTCAGTAAAATAAAACTAAGCTTTAAGTGTACAGTTACTAACTTTTTCTTTTTACTTTAATACGTTTCCTGAAAGAAGAAACCACGTAAAAGTATTGCACAGGAAGCCACACTCCTTGCTTGCTATCACAGAAAGCAAATCTTAAGAAACACAGGAACCCAGATGTGGTTTTCTGCGGGAGGCTGTAACTCTGAGATGTGCTCCCTTGTGCCTGGAGAAGGGTGACTAGGTGCTCGAGGGCGGGATGTTAAAAGCTCCAGCTCCCCTGGGTCCTTTCTTTTCCCCAAAACATTCCTTCCCCGGGGATGATTCTCTGTCCTCCGTGTTCTCAGCACCCCCTCCCCTTAGGTGACAGAGCTCCAGACAAACACAGAGCTGTGCGCTTTGGGTTTTTGTTGTTTTGTTTTTTGCAAAGAGTGATTTTTTTGGCGAAGGGTGACATTGTACACGATGGTGGCTGTCACCTGTGACTACACTTGGCCCCAGTTTTGGAGTGGTCATGAGCATGCAGTCACAGCGCTGGGCAGTGACGGTCTCTCTGGGCCCCGATGTCCCCCACGTGGATACGGCGGAGGCCCTGCAGCCCTGTCCTTGAGAGGTGGCAGGAAGCACAGGTTTTGTGGCCCTGAGCCCTGGGCTTGGTCCTGTTGTTTCTCAGTAGCTTCTGGGTCTTGCTAACAAGCTGCGGCTCTCTTTGGATCCCTTTGCCTCAGCTGAAGGCGACAGTGTTGACTTGGAAGCTGTGCAGGGCTGGCGTGGAACACACGGCCCGGCCCTCGGCTCGCGGCAGACGGCTGGTGACTGTGTGTTGAATGCGTGCACGATCAGGAGTGCCTCTGTGGCCCTCGGCAGGCAGTGGGGTTGGTGCACGGTGACCCCGCTGTGCGGGTGAGGGAGCTGAGGCTGCGCCGAGGCAGGGGCGGGAGCGAACCCTCCCAGGTCCCAGGCTCCTGCTTCTTTCAGTGACGCCACGCTGCTTCCGCACTGCAGCACGCTGCACTTGGGTCTGGGTTTTATGGCCCAGGTTTCCTATTTTCCTTTGCAGGCGGTGGGAAAGGCTCGGCTCTGCCGACTCCAGAGCCGTAACTGCCGTCTGAACTGGAGAGGACTGTGGGCTTTTACTGGGGCACATAAAGAGCACAGGTGACCAGCGTGGAGGGTCTGGGCAGACCAAATGTCCCTTTCACTCAGAGAGCAGCTCGGCCCCCGCGCGGGTCCCTGAGTGGGGAAGAAAGACCGGCCCCTGGAGCCGCTCTGCTGTCAGAACGAAGGCTCTGTCACGGGTCCCGCACCCGGGGAGCCGCAGAGAGCCTGGTCGCAGAGCTGCCCCAGCCCCAGCCCCAGCCCCAGCCCCAGCCCCAGCCCCTCCCTGCCCTGGGGGTGTTCTGTGGCCTTCACTGGGCAAAAAGAGGGCAAGGATGTACAGAACGAAGGACCAGGTCTGGGGTCATTTGTCAGCACAGCCCCGGATCCGAGTCCCGGGGAAGGACCGAGGGTGCGGCAGAAGGAAACTCAAGCCCGGTGAGCACCGACCCTGCAAGCTTGCGGCACCGACAGCGCTGCATCCTTGCAGCCAGCCAGGAACGCGACTTCGGCCTTTGTGCCTATGGGCAGACGGACGCTCAGCTGCGATCGCTTCCTGGCCCCGGACCGCAGGAGGGAGAGGGAATCGGGCAACATTTGGGGGGGCCCGTGCACCTCGCTCCCCTCTCCCTTCACCCTTGTCCGAGGGAGGAGGTGGAGAAGGGCAGGAGGCGGCTTTTCGAGGCCGTGGCTGGGGGCGGGTAGGAGATGCGGATTCTGCAGCCCCGGACAGGTCTCCATGATGAAACTAATTATGCTGTTTACAGCTGGCGGAAGTGTAGGAGACACAGGGACGTGGAACTGGTTTTGTTGCTGTTAAATTTACCCTGTTTGGGCATCTCAGTTCAGGTGCTGAGTGGGGCTAGCTGGGGCCTTTGTAGCAATGGAAAGTGGGAGAGGAAAGACAGATTATTTTGGAAATTTAGTAGGGATGAGCTTTTCAGATCCATCCACATCCATCTGTCATCTATTCAGCTATCTAAGCAGCCCTGCGCCCACCATCCATGGATCCGTCCAGAGTTACTCATCCGTCCATCCATCCACCTATCCTTCCATCCATCACCCACCATTCGTCCCTCATCTGTCCATCATATATCCATCCATCCATTCATCATCTACTCAGCTCTCTAGGCAGTCATATGCCTACCATCCACCGATCCACCTACCAAATCACTCATCCATCCATCCACACATCCACCTATCCTTCCACCCCCCATCCATCCATCCATTCATCTATCCACCCATCCACCTATCCTTCTAGCCCCCATCCATCCATCCATCCATCTATCCATCCATCCACCCATCATCCATCCATCCATCCATCCATCATCTACTCAACTATTAGGCAGTCAAATGCCCACCATCCATTGATCCATCTACCGAATCACTCATCCATCCACACATCCATCCATGCATCAGCCAACCATCCATCCATCCATCCACTCACCATCCAACATTAATCCATCTACCCATCATCTGTGCATCCATTATCAGTCATCCCCATCCACCTATATGTACCCGTCCTCTAGCAGCCACGTAAGCATCCATCTATCCACCCAGCATCTCTCCATTCCAAAGCAGGACGCAGTGGGTGCTTTAGCCACTAAAGTCTGGAGGTCTTGGAAACCATCCAGCCGACCACACAGCGGGGCCCTGGCTCCCTGCTTTCCTGCAGGGTGTCCAGGGATGGTGTCCGTGTTGCCTAGGGGGCTGGGGACCCTGGAGTGAGCCTGGAGAGGTCAGGGAGGGCTTCCTGGTACCCTGGCCGGGCCTGGAGAAGGCCTGGAGCTACCCTCCAGGCAGAGATGAGCTCTTGAGCTGTATCACAAGTCCCTTCTCTTGCCCTGGTGCTGCCACCTGTCCCACAGGCTGCAGTACAGGGCACACACCCTGCCCATGGACATCATGAGAGCAGACAGAGGCCTCCGGGATGGGTCTCCAGCAGAGTGAGTGCCTGGACGGTGAGGGCAGCCAGCCCGAGGCGGGGACCGGGCTGTGCGCAGGCCCGGTCCATGCGCAAGCAGGCTACGGGTGAGACAGGGTACCCAGAGAGCTGCAGCTGGCACAGGGCTCAGGGAGAGCCCTGGCCTGGCCCTGCCTCCACTGGGGATGTGGGACGTGCAGCCCGTGGGACGGGGAGGAGCGGGCAAGCCTGGAGGGAAAGGGCGTATCTATCTGGGGGAACCAGGCCCAGGGTGGGGAGTGGATCACTGAGCTGCAAATCTGAGACTCAAGGAGCTGAGCGTGGTGGTGCGTGTCAGTCATCCTAGCACTCAGGAGGCTGAGGCAGGAGGATCACCGCAGATTTGAGTCCAGCCTGGGCTACACAGTGAGTTCAAGGCCAGTCTGGACTACATAGCGAACCTCGACTCAAAAAACAAACAAAACAAAACAAAAACATTCAAAGTGTCCAGAAACGGTACTGCCGAAGGTTGAAGGCACACGGATTGAGGGCCACTTTCATCTCCTTGTTGTACACCATGGAACAGCGGTGGGCTTCCCATGAAGCAGGACAGCGTGCAGTGGTGCACACCCATCATTCGAGCTACCCAGGAGGGCAAGACAGGAGGATCCCAAGTTCAAGGTTGGCCCCCGGGAAACTGTGAGACCTTGTCTCAGAAGAAAACTGGAAAAAGAGCCAAGGGTGCTGTTCAGTAGTAGAGCACTTCCTAGCGTGCTCCAGACCCTGGATTCCATACCAGCACCATAGGAAACAGCATAAACAAAGCAGGGGGAAAGCCCTTTGTGGGCTGTGAAGGTGGGAGCCCCACCCCCCCTTGTCCCAGGGCCCCAGCAGAGCGAGTCTCTGGGCTGCTGTGATGTAGAAGGACCTAGCAGCCCTGGGTGCTTCGCCTGACCGCTCCCCTTTCAAACCTGGCTTTGAGGAGCTGCCCATCCACCTCACTTCAAAGCTATTTAGAAACTTCTCGGCATGGTGGCACACACCTGTAATCCTAGCACTCACGGGGCTGAGGCAGGAGGATCGCTGTGAGTTCGAGGCCAGCCTGGGCTACAAAGTGAGCTCAAGGCCAGCCTGAACTGCATAGCGAGACCCTGTCTCAAAAAAAAAAAAAAGAAAGAAAGAAAAGAAACTTCCTGTTCTGCATGGGGAGTCACGGGGCGACCAGAAGAGGCTGCCTCTCCATGGAGCTCCGCAGTGTGTTTTCCCTTCCTGCGCATGCGCACACACACGGACCTCAGCAGGTGCCACCAGGGGTCAGGACCCCTGAGCCTGAAGCCAGGCAGTCAGAATGGGGTGCTTTGTCCCTCCCTACCTGGCTGTTTCCAGCCCCACAGGCTCAATCTGATGCTTCCACCAACCACAGCTGTGCCCCAGGGGGGGCCTTTTCACAGACAAGGAAACCGAGGCCCAGAGTGACCAAGTGACCCAGGTAAAGGCACCTAGGTACAAATGATAACACACAGTCAGGAAGAAAACCAACCGACCTAGCACACAATGGCAGTTATGACGTCATGCATGGTGTGCGTGAGTGGCTTTTTACGTGCCCACACACACTTGTGCAGGAACATGCATGCACACACGTGGTAAGAGTCTGCACGACAGATCAGAGACAGTTTCATGGCACTCCCTGGAATGGAAGGCACCAGCTGAGCTGGTGTCAACTGCCTCCTCGGTTAGGAGACCAGGGCTTGGTGTTGAGGAGGAAACAGGAACATTTAGCATCCAGTGGCCCCGAGAGCCCTAGAAAAATGTAAAAGGCACGTTTATCCCAGGCCTCCACGGAGACAGGCCTGCCCTGGGGCCTCGACTCCTGTATTGCCAACAGCAACCGAAATTCCAGGTCCCCTGAGCCCCTGGGGGTGCGGACTCCCTTGTGCCACGCCTGGGTCGGACATCAGGAGACGATGGGTAAGGCAGCCAGGCCCAGGGCGCAGACAGACGGAGCCACGGGCCTGGAAAGGAGGCAGCCTATGCCCTGCACCTTCTGAGGGGTGAGGATGGGGACTTCCACCATCTCCGCTGCCGCCATCTGCTCAGGAGTTCCGCAGAGAGGACTGCAAAGTGCAGAGGCCATGGAGGGGACAGGGGACAGTGCAGAGGGATGTGGGCTGGACACAGATTTCCCCTACACCTCCATGTACACGCGTGTCCACGCAAAGGTGTGCAGCTGCCCCTGCTGGCCTCACCCGGAGGCCCCCTTAGACACAATCCCGCCGCCCCTGTGATTTGAGCAGCCAGGCTTGCGGGCCGGGAGGTGGAGGAGTTAGCACCCCTCTGTAGCCGCAGAGAATCAGTGGCCCTCCGAGCTGCGGCTTGGCCGGCCAGGCCACCTGAACGCTTGTCTGTGCTCGTCCAGAGTGACCGCCGGCCCAGGAGCTCTGCTCCCTGTGACCAGGGCCTGAGGTCCCTTTGCCCAGGGGCAGGAGACCCCACTCCTCAGGGCTCCTTGCGGTCTTCTTGAGACCTCGGGCGCAAGCGTCTTGAAGGGCAAGCGGGGAAGCTCATTCTCCACTTTTCAGGGGACCCCACCCTGCGGCACAGGTCTCTTGATCAGCGGAGACGCAGTCCCTGGGGGCTGTGTGACCCCGGGTGCCCCGTGGGGCTCACAAGCTCTCTGATCTCGCAGTACAGGTTGGGGGCTGGGCTCCAGGGGCGGCCTGGCAGGAGACCCCTCTGTTGCTGGAAGTGGGGGCGCCGTGCAGGGTACGCAGGCAGGAGGCCCCCACCGTCCCGCCTCGCCTTCCTGGCTGACAGTGGGTCAGGACCCCCAGGGAGCCCAGGTAATTTGGGGCCCCGTGTAGAAGGGAGGGTGTCTTGAAAAGCTTCTCATCCACTGCCAGCGCCTGCTCCTACTCGGTCTTTTCCAGAAATCCTGGTCCTGGCCTGGTTGGTCTCCAGCGCCCCTCTCTCCCTCTTGCAGCGCTGTGCAGCGCGGGGCAGCTCTGCAGGCCGCCTGGGCGCTTCTCTCGCGCCCCCTAGTGGCCTCCCGCGGGAGCGCGCATCCTATCGCTCTGTGCCCGGATTCTCCGCAGTCTGCAGGCGGCGCCCACCAAGCACCTGTCACCTCCTCCTCGACTCCTCATTTGGCTAAAGCAGCCAAGTGCCCTTCTGCCCGGCGCGCTGCCTGGGCACGGCTGCTGCTTCATGCCGCCCTTCGCTTTGAGCCTCTGCTTTCCCAGTTATAAAGTGGAAAAAAATAAAACCAGGGATTATAGAGCCTTCTGCACAAGGAAGAGCCCTTAAAACGCTCACGTCGGGACATGAACCATTTTCCTCTTAGAGAAATAGTGCAGCTGGCTGCCAGCGCTCAGTGAATTTTCAGCTATCAAAATTTACTATATATTGTAAGTGGAAATACCACTACTGAAGAGAGAATGATGTCTTTTGTTTTCAAAGACTATCCATGTACTAAAGTGATGCAAAAAAATAACAAAAGCCAGATATTTGGGGGCAAACTTTAGGGGTGAGGTTAGGATTGGAATTGGGGAATTATCTCAGAGTCAGGGAAGGTGCTGGCCGTGAGTATCCCTGGGGGAAAAGGGGAAATAAGTTTAACGGAGAGCAGAGCACAAAGCTTCCGCTGAATACAGTGAAATCTATGTTGATTTCTGTAATATATTTTATTAATGTTATTGGATATGTGTACTAATTATATAATGTACTATATGATGTAAAGTACACAGTACATAATTGTGATGGTCGATACATTGTGTCAATTTGAGGAGTCTGGAAGCTTAGCCAAGTAATTCAGCAGTTCTACATCCTGGGGTTGAAACTGTAAGGACGTTGTTCATTGTGTCAACTTGAGAAGTTTGGAAGTTCAGCTGAGTGATTCAGCAGGGGGCCAGGGTTCTGACTTTATAAACACCCTCAGCTTGTGGATGAGGAGGGCGTGGAGATGGTGTGGGCTGAAAGCGGCTTGCAATGTAAGGGAGGAAAAGAAGCTTCCTCCCCTCCCCTAGTGCTCTTGCTGCTTTTGCTGTCTTCTGTAACCTGGGACTGTTGCTCTGCGCCCTGTGCCACCCTGACTGGGAGCCAGCTGATTATGGACTGAAACTTCCACGAACTGTGAGCTAAATAAACCCTTTCTTCCTTAACTTTGGGTGCTGGGTATTTTGTCTTAACAATAAGAGAAAAGTAACTAAGATAAGTAAGACAACCAGAAAAAAGTAACTATCTGTTACTAAGATATTCACTGCAGGAAATCCACCAAGCCTGGAATTTCTCTGCAGCCTGATTCCCAGTGGCTCCAAGTTAGAAAAACACAAATGTCTACTGAGAGCAGCATGGACACATTAGCAGTGGGGCAGCCCTCTGAGAAGATCCAGGCCAGCAAGGAGGAAGCCCAAAGCCAGACCCGAGCCTGGAAGGACTCTCACAGCTGGTGTGTTGAGCGGAAGAAGTGAGCTGCAAAAGATTTTGTTTGAATCTCGAGCACGGTTTTGCAGTTTTGCTCTGTGGTCACCAAAGTGAGAGCAATAGTTTCCTTTTTCTTTTTCTTTTTTTTTTTTTCAGAGACAGGGTCTCACTAGGCAGTCCACGCTGGCCTTGAACTCACTATGTAGCCCAGGCTAGTCTTGAACTCTTAGTGATCCTCCTGCCTCAGCCTCCCCGAGTGCTGGGATTATAGGAGTGTGACACCACTCCCAACCTAGGACAGTAGTTCTCTCTGTCAAGACAGGGACAAGGACACAGTATCGGTGCTGAGACCCCTGAGAGCTTGGGCTCCCTCCATTCAGGCTATGGCCACACGGATGTGAGAGGGTGCACATGAAGAACCATGACTTAATATGGTTTTTGATCCTATTCCTCAATAAAAAGTAAAAACCAAGTGGCAAAGGGACCGGAAGGAACCAAGCCAACACACTGATAAAGAGAGTTGCTTCAGGGGACCAGACTATATGGGTCATTCACATGCTGTCATATTTATAAAAGGAAAAAGCGTCTTGAAAAAGATATTCTGTATGTGTGGTTCTGTGATGAGGAGACCCAAATAACACAAGCTGAGCACCTCTACTCCAAAAAGCTAAAACCTGAAAAGCTCCCAAGTCCCCAGCTTTTGGGGAGGCGACCTGATGTCACCGTCTGGTGAGTCAATGCATACAGACTTTGTTGCTGACACAAAGTGATTTAAACGTTGTGTAAAATTACCCTCAGGCTACAGAGTGTCTGTGAAACATAAATGAATTCCGTGTTTCATCTGAACTCTACTTCTCAAGATGTACCTATCTGTGCTACGCAAACACTGTATGGGCCAAGATCTGAACAAATCTGAGATCCAAAGTACTTCTGGTCGCAAGTGTTTTGGAGAAGAGAGAAACAGCCTCCCTCTACCTGCACCCTTGAAAAACTCGAAGCCTTTGAGACATGGCAGCTCGGCTGTGCACCTCGGGGGACCTCTGCGCGCCTGTGGACAGAGCTGGGTCGGAACCTGCTGGGCTCTAGAGGGCGCCTGGGCTTTTGCCCTGTGGAGTCGAGGCTCATATCATGGGGTGGAGGTCTTGGGGGCTGTAGGGAGCTGTCCATGCCCCCCAGGGGAGAAAACAGCGAGCAGACAAACCCTAGCATCCTTCTCCTGCCCTCCCTGGCTGGGTAACCCTCACCTCCGTCAGTCAGGCTTTCTCCGGTGGCCCTGAGGCCCCAGCCCCCTTTCTGCTTAAACTCTGGTGTGGAGGGAGGACCGGGGCTGACCGCCAGGGCAGGTCGGCTGAGCTCTTCCCGGGGCCCAGGGCGGGAGTAGCACAGAGCACTGGCCCTGCGGTCACACACAGCTGGCGTGGGTCACGGCCCTTCCGCAGCCACGTGGTGCTGTGAAGCCCGCGGTCTGTGCTGAGCTCCAGTCTGCATCTGTGAAGTGACACGGACCAGCCCACATCCGGGCTGTGAGGATGGCGTGAGTGTCTGCCTGGCCTGTGCGTGCTCTGCTAGCCAAGGGGTCCCAAACTGAGAGCTGGGCCGGGCCGCAGAGATCTCAGCTCCTGTCTCTGCCTCCATTGGCCACCTGCTCCTAGGACGTGCTCCCTTAACTCTTGCAAATGCAGAGCTGGTGCCTCCTCTCCCTTCAGGGCCCAGGAAAGGGCTGGGGAAGTCGGAGGAGGAGCCCCGAGTGGAGCAACCGCCCGGTCTGGAAAGTGTGCTGGGTATCCCTGGGGTGCTTGAGCCCAAGGAAAGAAACAGCAGCAGGACAGGTTGGAGCTCAGTCCCTTCCTCCCACCCAAGGAGGCAGAGGCAGGAGAGCCTCCTTGGGCTTGTGTGCAGGCCTCAGTGACGTCAGGGCCTGGCCTGGCCTTGCCCAGGGACCTCAAGAAGTGGCCTCTGTTGCACTGCCTCACCCCCAGAGGTGCTGCTGTCCCCGTCCAGGTGACAGGCAAAGTGACTTGTCAAAGTCACACAGCG